AAATTTTTCTTGTTTAATGCGCAAAACATTGTTTACATTTCAAAACAATCAGGTGACCTTTAATTCTGTTCGTCCCAAGCAAATATGTAATAAATTTTATGAAAACAACTTTCTTAGCGAGATGAATTTTGAAGTATAAAATAAACAAATTTAGGCGGTTTTTTCTTTAAAATGGTGCATAAATCTATTATCAACTGGGTGTTCAAAGATCGTTTCCTACTTAAAGAACTTATTAATGGATCAACTCATTATAAAAAGTTTTTTATGAGAATAAAAGAAATATTTAAATAATTATCAAACAATTTAAATTAGCTATTTGTATATTTAAAGAAACGTTTTTGTTTTTTTTTGTGAGAAAAGATTGATTTAAGTGCCATAAATTAATTCTATTACCAAAAGCGAGGTTAATTCAAAAACTTTAACTCAGTTTTGGTCATGAATTATTTTATTAGAGTCTTTATTTATTAACAACCTAACACCATATTATTAAAACTGTATGCATAAAAAAGAATTGCTTAAGTTTTTTAAAGGGTTTAGCTTAAAATGTTAAGATAAATTTCAAAATTGAAATCTGGTTTTATTTTATAATGCATTGAATTTATCAAAAAAACAAGAACTTCTAGATTTAAAAACGTGCTTATTTAACAGTTAATCAAATAATGACATTTTTCATAATTTTGCAAAAAATTTGGTTTGCTTGCAGACTAGATTTGAATCCACTGACTATTCTTTTTGCAGTCAATAAAGACTGTTTCATTTTACCTTTAACAATTAAGTAAGATTTTTTTATTTTAATAATAGTTAAACAATCAGTGTATTTGATAATAACTATCAGAAATATATTTTCAGATTTTTTTTTTGATAAAAAGTAACAACAAATTACTAAAATTTAACCAAGTTCATCATTTGTTGCGCTTTATATAAACTGAAAGAAGTGTTTTTACTATTATATTAAATGTTGTATAATAAAACATTTTATTGTTGTTTTTATTCCTTTTACAAAACAAAATTGTGTCTAATATTTCAAAAGTTATAAATGTTTTAGTAACTACCCCTAGTCCAAATTTTCAAAAAAAAACAAGAAGCCGTAAAGCTCACTCTGAAACAGCTGTGATGGCAATTGATTACAAAAAAATCAAAAAAATTTGTAATGCTTGCAATCTAATGTAATATTATATGTACTTTAGAACCGGCAAAAACCATTGAGGAGATCAACATTGCACATGGTAGAAATTTTTTTTTTGGTTATGTTTAAAAAGTATTTTTTCTTTTTGCACAGCTATTATTAAATAATAATGCATCATGTAATTTTATATCAATTAGAAACATATTAAACTAGATGCTTTTACTATAGAATAAAATAACATAAAATCATTGTGAAATTCAAAATATTTTTTATTTGTCAGATTTTTTGTTGTCTATTTATATATATATATTATTGAATTTAAACAGGAAGATTCAGTGATGTTAAATTTCCACCTGGTAAGTGGTAGTTTTAATTTTATTATCACTGATTTTTTATTGCTTCTTGTTTTTATATAAACTGTTATTTATTTTTTATTGCTTATAATTATAAATGAGTTCTTAAGAGTGAGTTTTTATTTTTTGGTTCTAATTATTAAAATGTTGTCATTTATAATTCATCCATCATTCATCTTTTAAGTCTTTAAAATTGTTATTAAGTAACAATTTTATTTTTTAAAAGCACCTTATTTGCAGTGACTTAATTCATTACTTTAGTGTATACTGAAGAGTGGTACCATTCTAAAAGATCCTGTGGCTCTAAAATAATCTAGTAGCATCTTTATTATTCTGTACTTAATGCTTCAAAAGGTTGAGTTTTATTTTTAGATTGTACTGTCTTAATCTTCTTTATCAATATCATCTTGATCTCTTATCATATCTTAAAACAATATAACATGATACAATATCTTGAAAAGAAAAAAAACTACTAATGATTTTGTTTTTAAGTTAAGCATCTATATTTTTTAAGATATTAAATTTAAGTTAAACAAAAAGCTCTCTGGAACTCTGGCTCCAAAAATTTTTTACAACAGCATGGCTTTTTCTAGTATTAATCAGTTTTGCAGGGAGAAACAGTTTTTATTGTGATAATACTATTAGAAAGATTATTATCCATAGGCTTCAGTCAGGTCAGGTTTTAGTCAGGGTCAGGTTATCCTGCTACTGGTAAAGATTATCATCCATAGGCTTCAGCCAGGTCAGGCTTTAGTCAGCTCAGGTTATCCTGCTACTGGTAACATGTAACCCTGCTTCAAACAGTACAATCTGCTGCCTTGTAGGATATACTTTTTTAGACAATGTCTAGGAGAAGCCTAGACATTGAACTTCGACTTAAAACACCCCCTGCCTTGGGGATCTTGGTTGAGTAAAGGTTAGAGATGGTGTCTCGATAAAAATACTTATCTTGGGCAGATGTTTAACACAACCAGCTACTGTATTGTAGAAGGCCTCTTAGGCAAAGACTTAAGGGGTAAACAGATTCTATCTGTTGACCAGCCCTGCACCCCTTCTTCATCTATTAGGCTTGCGCACATGTATTTTTAATACATTGTTTCCAGTATATGATGTTGAATGCTGGAGCTTCTTGACTCAATGCATGGGTTTTGCTTGTGTCTCTGTTTTTATGTGCATGGATGGTGTCCTTGTTTGTACTTTTGGTGTGCATTGTCAAGGCCACATTTGGAGCCCTTTGTTATGGTTTAGGGTAAATTAATAGTAATGAGGCAATTGCTTGGACTATTAAATAGTGCACTGAGTATTATCTATGCATTGAGTCAACTAATTTAAAAATAACTAAAGTACCAAAAACTATAAAACACAAAAAACCATCATTATCACCAAGTTCTCTAAACCTATCATTCACTAATATTCATGGTCTTTAAAGTAATTTTTCTTCTGTTGAGTCTTATCTTTTGCAAAGTTCACTAGACCTATTTCATCTTTGTGAGACTAGTTTGAGTTCAGCTCTCTTGTGATCTTAGTGTTGATGGTTATCTTCCTTTAATTCATAAAGACTCCAATAGTCACATGTTTGGCCTGGGTATTTACATTCGTAAGAATTCACCCATTTGTCCGGAAACTAGATTTGAATCCACTGACTATTCTTTTATGTGCTTTCGTTTAGCACCACTTCACTCTATCACTTTTTCCTTTGCCTTTGTCTTTGTTCTTCTCATTCCTCTTCTTCATCTCAAGACTGCACATTTTTTGATGTTATTTCTGATCAAATTGACCAAGCCCTCTCTCTTTATCCATCAGCCAATATTATAGCCAATATAGTTGTTGTTGGTGACTTTAATGCTCATCACACTGAATGGCTTTGCTCTAGTGTCAGTGACTCTGCAGGTATTAAGGTCTACAACTTGGGCCTTAATGCATGCAACTTGCCTTTCTAAATCTCTAACTTAAATAGTCAACTTTCCAACTCACTTTCCAGACAACTTGAATCATTTACCTTCTCTAGTCGACTTATGTCTTGTCACTGATCCTAATCAGTGCCTCTACATTCATCTGATCACAATTTGATCTCTATAAAACTATTATCTCATTCTTCTTCATCATCAGAATCCCCCTATCATTGTACTTCTTACACCTTCCTTAAAGCTGACTGGGACTCTTTCCCTGATTTTCTTCGTGATGGCCCTTGGGTAGAAATCTTTTATCTTCCTGCTGGCAAATTTACATAACTTCTTTGATTCAGGCTGGCATGGAATCTTTCATTTCCTTTGGTTGTGAATTTAATATTCTTTTTGTTGCGTTTAACTGACTAAGGCATATAAATTTTTATTTGGAGGGGGCATTTGAGCTTAAAAAAGATCTCACTTCTGCTACAGCATGGAGTTCACAATGACTTGTGAACTTTAATCAGGTAAAACTTAATTTTTTTTATCCAATCGTTATTGCAATAATTTAGATCTCTCCTTATTTATGGACGGTAATGCACTCGATGATTCATCTACCCTTTATCTTCTGGGGTTAGCTCTTACTTCCGATCTTTCTTGAAAAACATATATCAAATTGATTGCAAAATTAGCATCTGCTAAGGTTGTAACTATTTATTGTGCTTGACACTATCTTACTCCTGATTATATTCTTTATCTCTATAAATCTCAAATTCATCTTTTTATGGAATACTGTTGCCATATCAGGGGCAGATCTTCCGATGATGCCTATTCTCTTTTAGACAAGGTGCAAAAATGCATTGTAAACATAGTTGGATCTGCTCTTGCAGCTAACCTCCGACCATTATCACATTGTTGTAATGTAGCTTCTCTTTCTGTTTTCTACAAATACTATAATGAGCAATGCTCTAAAAAGCTAGCGTCTCTTGTGTAGTGCCATCTACAAAAATTTATTCTTGTGTTACTCGTCATTCAATTAAGCCTCATTCATTTACTGTGACTGTTCGTAAGTGCTCCAAAAACTCTTATTTATCTAGTTTTTTCTCAAACATCAGTTTTTTGGAATACGCTTCCTTAATATACCTTTCCTGATTCATATAATTTGCAATCTTTTAAGTTTTCTGTCAATCATTATCTTGCTCTATAAACTTCATCCTTTCTCTTCCAGTAGGTTTGTTTATTCTATATGAAAGTTTTGAAAACAAAAAATCATAAAAGTGCAAGATTTTAGTTTGCCAAGGATCACATAACATTCGACGCAGAATGAGAAAATGTTATTTTTTCCAATAAAAAAAAGTTTAACTTAGATGGGCCAAATACTCTGAAAGAAAAAGTTAGAAATTTATATCTTAGGGTAGGATATGTGACACAACCTTAGTATAATATAATTTACTATCTTTTAAAGTAGGAAATTATACCTTTAAGGTAGATTGTAGAATAAAACATTAATTTTTTACCTTAATAAGTAGAAAATAATACGTTACCAAGGGTAGGTCACATATCCTACCTAAAAAAGGTAGAAATTTCTACCTTTTTTTTTAGTGTGTATGGTTTTACGTATTATTGGCATGATTTAAAAAATAGCATTGCTATGAGTTGTAACTTTTGAGAAGGGACAGATATAGTGTGGGCTGAATTTTGTTTCTACAACAAAATTCTAATATGCTCAATTAAAACAAGAATGAATGCAAGAACTTATAAAGATTTTTTAGAGGATGTTTTAATTGAGTTTAGTGAAGGTTTATCTACTGAGAATTGGATTTACCGACTAGATAATGGGGCAATTCACATGGCACAAAGTATAAAACAGTAGTTCAAGGAAAAAAATATTTATGTTTTGTATTGGCCATCACGTTTACCCAACTTGGATATTATTGAAAATTTATGGGAAATATTGGCACGATGTACATCCATGTCAATTCTTGACAGTATAATAGAATACAAAAACTTAAAACTTCTATCAAACAAGCATGGAGCAGTATTTTAAAGGTTTATTTGGAAAATCTTATAAAAAGTATGAAAAATTCATTCTTCAAATTATTGTAGTACACATTATTAAAAATTAAAGTAATTAAAAAATTATTATTTAAAACAAAAACAAGTTTACTTTTTATGGAACTATAGAAGTTTCGCTTTTTTTTTCGAAATGTTTATGACTTAAGTTTTTACGAAATACGTTAATAATTATTTTCTGTTAAAATATTATTTGCTTATTTATTTATTCCTAATAATTCCTGTAATAAAAAAAAAAAAAAAATGCAAATACTTCATTAATTAATTTATATGTACAAGTTGTAAGTAGAACTTTGGAAATTTTGATGAGTTTAATAGGACCTGGAAAAGTCAGAGAAAAACACCCCATTTTGAAATAATTCCTGAAAAATTGTTTTCTGAAATAGTTTAATATTTTGTTATTGTGTTTTACTTTTACAAAGTCATTAATAATTTTGCATAGATTTATACTGAACTTGATAATTTTGTATGTTACTGTCAGTATTATTAATATCTACTAATTTTTTTGTTATTTTTCGTTTTCATAAATCAAATTTTGTTGTTTTCTTGTCAAGAAAGTATATATCTTTGAAAAAAAGTTTCCTTGAAAAGTCCTGGGAATATCCTGAAATTTTGAATTAGATATTGGCTGGCCACCCTGACTTGTACCATATAGTTTTTTTACACTTGCCACTTTTATTTTTAGTTTGATTATTTTGAGGATGGTTTATGAGTTTTAAGTTGTATGCTGATTTTGTAAGCTTTTTTATAAGGTGTAATGAAATTTTTAAATGTAGTTTTGTCAAGTAACATGGTGAACAGTCCTAGCTCAATTGTTTATAGGATTCTTTTTAATATGTTGATTTGATTTTGAATCTGAAGTTGATTTGAATGAACATGTTTTAGTTGATCAGATTACAAATACAATTTAAAATAATCATTGCTCAGGTTTAATAATACATTGAGATTTATTATCTCAATGTATTATTAATACAATTTTAATAATTGCAATGTTTAGACTTTTGAAAAAATATTTTGCAATCTTTAACTTTATCAACTGACATCAAACAATCTACCTATACAGGTTTTTTTATAAATTAAAGGTTTTCCTTCATACCTTATCAATATTTTGCATATGTAATTGTCACTATTTATAGTGTGGCTAAATTATTATTAAAATGAGATAAAAACTATTTATGTCAAAATCTAAATTTTTGTAAATGTGCTTGTTGTTGATTTTTTTATTAAACCAATTATTTTAATTTATATTGGGTGCATTGCTATTGGTTTACAGTTTTTTAGTTCATAAATAATTTTATCCTTCAAGGCAGTTAGGCATTTGGCAGGTTGTACTGGTAACTAGAACATACTTGAGTGTATTGCAGTAATAACATACTTGAACAATTAATAGAGAAAATTGCTGAAATAAATTACTAAAACAAAATATTGGAAGAAGTTACTTGAGAAAAATACTGAAATAAATTACCGGAAAAAAATACTGGAAATAATATAGTTTGATAAAATACCGGAGAAAATACTGGAATAATATAATTTAATAAAACACTGGAGAAAAATACTGGAATTATTGCAGAGAAATGTTGGAATAAATTGCTTGAAGAAAGTATTGGAATAAATTACTGAAACAATTTAGTTGGGACTTAACCAAAACAAATTACTGAATATAAATTTTTTTTTCAGGAAACAGGCGAAGTCATTCAAAGTTTGTAACTTTATGGAAAGATAAAAATGGCAGGCCAAGAATTCCATATGTTATAAACATTGGACCTGATACTACTAAAACAAGTAACATTTTCGATTTTTTAATTAGATATGAACTTATGTATAGTAGTTTGTATTTACAATATTTAAAATGTTTTTTGTTGTGAGATTTCAATTCATCAAAAAGTAATCATTTAATCAAATGTAAATTATATAAATGAATTAAAATATGTTTAAATAAATATCAGTTACAGATTAGAACCTAAAAAAACAGGCTGCAACTTTTAGGCTGGTATTTTAAATCCAAAAGTTTTTTACTTTTTTTGTTAATCTCACATTTTGAAATTTAAAATCATTTTTCTGTTATGTGATGCAACAAATCTGTGATATTTAAACAAAGATTTATATTAAGGAGAAAAAATCTAGTCTTAATTTATGAATATATATATATATATATATATATATATATATATATATATATATATATATATATATATATATATATATATATATATATATATATAATATGTATATATATATATATATATATATATATATATATATGTGTGTGTGTATATATATATATATGCTTAAAACAGACAGAAACAGCAAAATATTATTTAGAAAATCAAACATTCAAAGTTTAGCTGCATATATAAGATAAAAAAACAGACATTTGCATAACCAACTGTATTACCCATAAATCTTCATTAAATACTGATAAACAAAAGTTTATCGCAAGTTTTCCTTACTGAAACAAAAAATTTAGGAAAAGAAAAAAAAAGATTTTGTATAAATGTAATTTGTGTAGTATTAGGACTATATGATCTTTAATACAATCCCTTGTTAAGTTAAAAACTTATCAGTACTCAGTGTAGGTAAGGCAATTTTAAAATATAATAGCATCTGTATGATATTTTGCTGACTACGACATATTTCCCTTAAATTATCAGGTCTGTGAATTATGAAAAGACGAAAAAAATTTAAACGATAAATTCTGCGGTCTTATAAAATATAAATGTTTGTTTCAAAAAAAACCCATTCTTAAAATCACAATCGTTCATCCAAATTTGAATAAAATGTTAAATAAATATCTTTTTTTAAGTGAAGATAACAATATAGTTTAATAATATGATTAGTTCTGATTGTTTTTTTGCAATTTTCCATAATAATAAGATCTTTCTTGATCAGAATTCTAGTGTTTTTGTGAAAATAGAAGTATTGTATTTTGACAACTCTACATAGTTAATATATCTCAGAACCGATTAGAACTATGATCTATATTTGGTTAAGGCACTTATTCAAAAGATTTTAACTAAGTTCATGTTAACAGGATGAGCGAAATAGATCTAAATACTCAAAAAGGGTGTTCTTTAGATTCACTATTAAGTGTAGTAAAAAGGTTTTGATATATAAAATTATATATAAAAAAAGAAAATATTTTTCAGATATTAAAAAAACCTAAAGCAAAAAAAATTATATCATCTAAAGCTCTTGTTTGGACATAATACGCTGATAAAATCATGCTTATTTCGAATTAAAAAATTTGAATAATATTAAATCACCTTAACTACACCGAATAAAATTGTGAATACACAATTCTATTCGGTGAATAAACAAATTATAAAGTACACCAAATAAAATCTGTTATTACATACATTTATATTGTCTCAACACTGTTTATTCATATATCACTTAAACATAAGTAATCTAATATATCATATAAACATTATTCCCACTTAGAATAGAATGCAGGGGCGTTCACATAGAATGCAGGGGCATTCTATTATAAAAAAATTAAATTTGGTACTTTTAGAATAAAAAAACTCAATATTATATAACAGAAAAATTAGGTGTTGTTGAAAAATCAATAAAACAAAGTCTTTGATAAATCCTGACACTGTTTTTAATAGGCATTTATAACAGGGTCAGGATTTCATATTATGCTAACCAATAATTTGTATTATATTTCAAACTAATTCATATTATGCTAACCAATAAAAAATGTAGTTAAATAACATGCAAATCGTGAAGTTATCTTTAAAACTAAATAACTCATTTCAACTCATTGTGGAAAAAATGTAGTTTAAAGATTATAAAAAATATTATAGTCAAAAAGGTAAGAAATTTATACAAGCATTTGTGATGAGGCAAAAAATATATTCTTTTGATCTGTTAAAGACAAACGATTTGATCTGTTAAAGACAAAGTTACTTGTAAGGTATATACATAAAGTCAATTTTACATAAACAAATAACTTTAATTATTTATTTCAACCTTTAAAAGTCAAAAAAGCTTTAACAATCTCACAAAAACAATTTTTTTTTTATGCTTTTAAAAAATTATAGATTGGCTTTGGATTATATTTATAGTGCATCGAATTAAAGCTGTTTGAGTTTATGCAATGCATTAGTCGAAGATTATTTGACTTTATTTGCATTATTAATTAAGATAAAACTAACTGAGGTTATTTATGATGCTTTGTGAATTGAGAATTTAATTTAATGAAGTTATTTAATTTTTTAGATTATACTACTATAATTAGGCAATCTGTTCGTGCTATGAATGAATATATGTCTCCTTGCGGTCATGATGTATGAGTTGAAAAGGAAGCCAGTGATAAAAGTGGTTACATTGAGTTTATCACCACCTTGAATGATGGGTAAGTTTTTATGAATTAATTTTTTATATAATTTTTTTTTTGTTTAACAAATTAAAATACATAAAGTTAAATAGACATGATTTTGTTCAAAAGTTATTTTACAATATTGTTTTGTTTAAAATCTTGATTTTATTAAAGATTCATTTAAAAAGAGAGGGAGTTTATTGTCAAAAAACTAAAACATTAAAGCAATATTTTTTTACTAACATCTGGCTTAAATCAAAATAGCTGGGGCTTTTGATAAGTATCTAAATTAATCTATTGAATATTGAAATGAATTAAAAAAACCTAAACTATATGTAATCTTTATATCCTGTTACTTTAGGGGTTCCTCAAGGTTCTATACTTGGCCCCATACTCTTTTTAATTTACATTAACGATCTTCCAAATATTCTCACATCAAAGTGGCATTGTTCTCTGATGATACTACCATTTATTCTTGTCTTGATAAGAAGCCAATACTCTCTAATTGCTTGGGGTCATTTGAACTTGAAAATGATCTAACTTCTCTACAGCATTGGGCTCACAATGGCTGGTGAATTTAAACTCAATTTTTATCAGCTAATTGTTATTGCAATAATTTAGATCTTCCTATATTTATGAATGGTAATAAACTTGATGAGTTATCTACCCTTTATCTTCTAGAGTTTTTATTTCTTCTTCTTCTCTTATTTTCGATCTTTCTCAGAAACCATCTATCAAATCGATTTCAAAATTAGTATCTGCTAAGATACTAATTTTGATACATTTTTTTGGCATATTCTCTTTATCGTGCTCGTCATTTTCTTACTCTGGATTCTGTTCTTTATCTCTTTAAATCTCAAATTTGTGCTTGTATGGAATACTGTTGCCATATCTGGGGCAGACTTTCCAATGATGCCTTTTAACTTTTAGACAAGGTGCAAAAATGTATTTGCAGCCAACCTCCAACCATTATCACATCGTGGTAACATTGCTTCTTTTTCTCTTTTCTACAAATACTATAATAGGCACTGCTCTAAAGAGCTAGCATCTTTTGTGCCATCTACTAAAATTCATTCTTGTGTTACTTGTCATTCAATTAAGTCTCATCCTTTTACTGTGACTGTTCCTAAGTGCTCTAAAAGTCCTTATTCTTCCATTTTTTTTCCTCGATCATCAGTTTTTTGGAAATCGCTTCCTTCGTTTTGTTTTCCTTATTCTTATAATTTGCAATATTTAAAGTTTTCTTTCAATTGTTATCTTGCTCTATAAACTTCATCTTTTTTCGTCCAGTAACTTTTAACTCTAATAGTGGTTACTTGCAGCCTTGTTGGAAATAAAGATGTTGAAAAAAAAAATCTTTATTAAAAAAAATTAAAATTTTTTGTAGATAATATCCCTCTTATTACATGCTTTCATATCTATTTGGAATATCTTTTTGATCTATTAAGATTTATGTGTAGGTAGCAGAATACTAAGTAACTAAGTAACTAAGTGTAGGTAGCAGAATGAGTTAGATTACCCCCAAAAAAAATGCCTAAAATTTATTATTTTGTAATGATTAACTATTGCAAAAATAGTTTTTTATTAATAACAATAAATATTATTTTTAGCTGCTGGAGTTATGTTGGAAAACAGGGAACATCAAAACAACAAATTGGCATTGGATATATGTGTAATACTAAAGGTATTATAATTTTTTATAGATTTTTAAAAAATTTTGCTATAAGAATATAAAAGGTTTTTAATAATAACAACAAAGACGAATTATTATGTATTTTATAATAGAGTAATAATGGCTGATAAATAGTAAATTATAATGTTTATTAGTTAACATAGTAGTAATAATAATAATAATAACAGTAAAAACAATAATTTATTATAAAATTTGTATTATCAGAATAATGATAATTATTTTTATTAATTTGTATTATATAATCATAATATTATGAATATTATAAAATGTAATAATTATAGTCATTTAAAGTAATTTAGTTCAATGTGATATAATTTAAAATTATATAAACTAATAATTTTATATAAACTAATAATTTTTGCACTTATAGGAGCGAACATTGCATAAATATAATATATTTATTATAATATAAATATGATAAATTTTTCTTTTTTTTCCAAGGGACTATTCTTCACGAAATGCTTCATGCTATGGGTTTCTTACATGAACAACAACGTTGTGATCGCGATAGTTACATTGAGATTATTAAGCCAAATATTAATAGTATTGTTGGAGGTTAGTTAAATCTAACATTTAGTTTTATTATAACTAACAGTTGTATTATATAGTTATAAGCTGTATACATATATATATATATATATATATATATATATATATATATATATATATATATATATATATATTTTTATATATATATTATAAGCTGTATACATATATATTATAAGCTGTATACATATATATATATATATGTATTATAAGCTGTATACATATATATTATAAGCTGTATACATATATATATATATATATATTATAAGCTGTATACATATATATATATATATATATATATATATATATATATATATATATATACAGAAAAACTGCGTTTTTTTTTAATTAAAAATAAAAATTTAAATATAAGTTTTTGATACCTTTTTTTTCAAGAGATAATTGTTTTAAACAATGTTTTAAAGAACTTTTTTTAATAATATTGGGACTCATTAAATAGAAAATGGACTTTATCATGAACTAAATATTATTTAGTATGTACTAAATATTGGACAATTAGACATAAATTAAGTTAATCACAAAAGATAACCACAGCAAATAAAAACACAAGTAGTTTTTTTATCTAAAGGCTTTAAGGCACCCTTCTATTAAATATCAGCATATTTTTGGTATTAAATTGCTTCAAACTGGAGTAGATAGTTTACAAGAAAATAAGAGTTAACTGAAAAATATAAAAAACCACTAAATTTAACTTGTAACTTTGTCTTATTTGAAAAATAAGTTTGAAAAATCAATATAAGTAAACCGTATTAAAGACATTATTTTCTTTGTAGAATTACAAAGTAATGTGTAATTTTAAACAAAACAAAAACATTCCAGCAGAAATTTTTTTTTTTTTTCTGCATTAAGTTAAAATTTTTAAACTAAAAAGATGTTTTTTTTCAACTTAAAAGCAAAAATATCTGAAAGTCTATCTTAACCCAAATAAAATCATTTTTTTTTTATAAAGTCTAGTTTAGGACTTTTATGTAAAACTACCCATTTTTACAGGACTGAAATATGTTTAAAAAATTAAAAAAATTAAATAATAAATTATTTACAGTTCATTACATATGAAAGTACGAAGTTTTAAAAACTCATTTTAAAAATTCATTTATTTATAACTCATTCTAGTTTATGAATCATACTGAATTATATGTAAAAAAAATTAAATTAAGATAAGATAGAATCGGATTAACTTGCAACTTTCAAACTTTGTATGTATGTATGCATGAATGTATGTATAATAAAGAAATACAATTTTTGTTTTCCAAAAATTAAATAAGTTTATAAAAGTATGTTTACATTTTAAGTTTTGAAAATATAGTTAATATTAAATTATTTAGGCAAAAAATTTAATGCAATGGCACAGTTTGAATGTTACTATTCTATCCAACAAACACATTATTCTTCTGTGAGTTAATTTTTTTTGTTACTTTATAGTTTTTTGTTTTTTTTATTTTGTTGTTATTGTTTGTTATTTTAATCTGCCCTAAATGTGTAATAAAGTTTTTCTTATAATCATTTGGGATTTTATCTTAATACAAATTGCAAAGATCTGTTGGTCTGATAACTTTATTTTAGATCTTTTTATCTTATTTAAACTGTTATTTATTCTTATTTAGCAATTTTTAAAAATGAGTTTTTGATAATGTTTTAAAAAAAGATAAGAATAAAGATTGTTTTTTAAAAAAATGTAATTAAAAATGGTTTTTAAAATTTGGAAGTAGTAATAAATTCATAGTAAAACCCTAAAAACTCTTTTTATAAAATTAGGATAATATTAAAATTTTTCTGTAAATTTGATTTTAAAAGTTGTTAACACCCTTAGAAATAGTTAAAATACAAAAAAGTACAACCCTAGATTACTATTCTTAAATCAATATTAACTAAAAACATAGTTTAAATAGTCAAACATTAATGCCATAAATTAAAACTTTGCCAAATAGAAAAATTGCTTAGATTTAAAAATTGTGTAGATAATCACCAAACACTTTAACACTGTGTAATTGAACACAATTTGTTTCTGTTAATGGTATCAAAAAAATTATTCCTCGAATGTTTAACAATACTACATAAGTATAAAAGGGTTACTGCTACTACAGCACTAATACTAAAGGATAATGAATAAGGACTGCAGTTTCCCCTATCTATCAATTATCTAATGTGCTTCTTAAACTTTCTACAGCTTATCATTTTTCTTTTCATACTAGCTTACTTCTAATTATCAAATATCACAAAAGTTTCAGTTATTTGTTTGTGTATGTATTAACTTTCATTTATCCCATTTTTGTTTAGCCTTATGATATTTTCTCCATTATGCACTATGATTTATGGGCTTTATCAAAAAGGCCAAAGCGCACTGCAAACACAAAAACTATGAGATTAAAACCACAGTTTATGAATTTAACAATAGATATTGAAGAATTAATTGGTAAAATGGGTAGAATGAGTGATACAGACAAGCAAGAGGTTAATGCACTGTATGGATGCATTGGTATGTAATATTTTCTTGAAGGAATTAATAACAAAATATATTTATATAAAAATATATATTTACATAAAAAATATATAAGTATATAAAAATATATATTAACATCAAAATATATTTCAAACAAACAATATATATATATATATATATATATATATATATATATATATATATATATATATATATATATATATATATATATATATATATATATATATATATATATATGTACATTCATATATAGATTTTTTATTTTAATCATCAATAAACTAGACTTATCCTGTTAAATTAAGGAAGATTAAACAACAAAAATTGCTAAAGCTTATCTTTTTTATATTAAGTAGAAACATTAACCATATTTTAAGCTTCAAAAAAGATTATATATTTCAAAACTTTTCTTTTTAATTAAATATTACAAAAATGTATTTAAAGCGATATGTAGTATTTTATAAGTTCGTTTTATATTAATTCATCATTTTTGTTTAATTTTAGATAATAATAATAATAATAATAATAATAATAATAATAATAGCAATAATAATAATATTAATAATAATAATAATAATAATAATAATAATAATAAAAATAATAATACTGCTAACAAAAATGCTGACAAAAAGTGTGATCTGTGTGATCAAGAATGACAAGTATCACTAACGATAATTCTATTTATAGAATTGCAAGAATAAAAGCCTTAATATTTCTATTCTAACATAAAAGTGAATTATCTTGATATTAAATTAAATCTTAGGGATTGCATGCCAAATATCAGTACCACTATTAAGTCCCACATCCCACATCAGCACATTTTGCGCAAATAAAGATACCGATGTTAGAAAATCCAACTGTATCATCCTCAAAATCCTCAAAAAGGTGTATTCTTCTTATTAATGATAAGTATTTTATTTCAACATACAATAAAGAACCTTTGTTGAATGAAAAAAGAGAATTGGTTTTGGCATGTAGGCACAGAAAAAAGTTTTTGTTATCGAATTTTGACACCGGTTAAATAAATTCCTGTTTAGCATGAAAAATTTTTTTCATTTAGATATCTAATACATTTTGATCTATTTTATAAAAATCAATCACTCTTAAACCGACAAAGAGCTGTATTAAATCCAACAGAATACAATACAACTCTATAAATATATATATATATATATATATATATATATATATATATATATATATATATATATATATATATATATATATATATATATATATATATATATATTAGGGGTGTTCAAAAAAATGAATTTTTGAAAGTTTTTTGCAAAGTTTAAAAATGATTTATATGTTGATTGCGTGTGCCAATACTGTGGTGGCAAAGTCAGCCAATCATCAATTCATTGATCTTTAATTCCAATTATATCAAATATTAACCAGGAAAACTTATCAACCAAAGAAGCTAAGCTAGCAATTTTCTGATGAGTGATTAGTCCAATTGTCAACAATTTTTGTATATCTTTTTTTTGCTTTTTTTTAGTTTTAAAGTAGTATGACTTTGGTTATATAGGTTTTGGAACTGATAATATTGCAGCAGCAATTTTTTCCTTTTTTTTCCGAGTGCAACATTGTCATCCTGTCATCCAACATTGTCATCCAGGCTAAAGGAATCTGAGTTAAGTCAAGATATGATGTGTGTTTAAATAAAGAATTCAAACAGCATCAGCAGCAAATAGTTCTGCACATACTGTTTTACACTGATACATTTGATGAATAGAAGTTTCATCCATAAAAGGAACTTTGATTGTATCATTTGATTGCAGGTACCACTTTGCATAAAAACAAGCTATAAATTCAGTTATTACCTTAATATGCTCTCTATTTTTTTGAATAAAATCAATTTGATTTAAAAGAGTTTGCATTTTTTGGATAGTTTATAGATTACCCAAAAAATCTTGCATGAACAATTGCTCCTATTTTTCGAATTTTAATGATAGAAGGAGAAAGATATCTAACCACTAACTCTGCTAGTTCCTTTCTGTCTTCCCTAACAATATTATTTCCTAATAAGTAAGATCTACAATACTCAAGAGATTCTGTAGCAGCTTTTTCAACAGCAGTACCTTTAACTTTTTCCCTAGCAAATTTTACTAACAAATATGGCTTGTATTCAAAATTAGGCTTCTCAAATAAGTTTTTGAAATGTTTAAACAAAGGGTTATCAGGCGCTGTAGTTTTTTCATTTGTTATAGCTTCACAGAAGTGTGAAGTTTTCAACTCAGAAACATGATGTCTGCAAGCTAAGTGAATATGATACTTATTAAACTCAATAGATATTCTTATTAAAGATCCTTTGTGTATTCCTGTATAGCTTGATGTGGTATCAAAACAAAGTAATCCAATCTTTGATTCGAAATTGTACTCTTTTAGTAGTTTCATTACACCATTGCATTGATCTTCTCCAGATGAAGAGTTTAATATTGTAACTTCAAGAAGATGGGACTTATTATCAATAGTTGCCAGAACAGCAAGTTGATCATACTTTAATTTTTTTCCATTATCAATTTCATAAAGTGTCTTTCCGTCAAAATGTATAATGCATGGGTAGGGAGTAGCTTGGATGCTAAGTTCAACATCTTCTTTAGCAATAACTGCCATTTCATGAGATGTTTGTTTCATCTTTCTAGAAGCTGTTGACCTACTGCAATTTACATTTGTAAGATCAACCCCAGAACTCAAGAGTTGCAGCAGTAACTTTTGTCAAAACAATAGGAGATATATCAGTAATTGTGGTAATTAGAGCAACATTGCCAGAAATAAGTTCTTTTAAGATCTCAGCTTTTATGAGACTACTTGATTCCATAGAACGCCAATATCCTGGGTTAAAATCTGAATCAAAAGATGAATCATTGCTGTTGTCCGTACTAAATTCTAAATCTGAACTTACTTCCACTGATTTATCAGCACTTTTTATAGATGGATTTCTCTTTCTTGTATTCTCCAAAATCTAAACAACATGCATTATGAAATAAAAATTAATGAACCCAAAATAAAAACCAATGAAAAATTGGCGAAGAGTGAGCAATGAGATGAGAGTTTTTTTTAATTCAGAAAGAAAGGCTTATAATATGGATTACCTTCTCGCTATATTTCTTGTCTTCAGGTCCTAGAAATAACATTCTGCTGTTTTCTTGATTAAAAAATCTAGGTCCTCTTTCTTATCTAGGTCTAATCTATTTTTGTCCTTCTTTATCCAGTTTTGTAAGTCAGCTTTTCCTGCCCAAAAGATTTTCCCTAGCTCCTTTCTAAAGTCTTGTTGCTTTTTTAACTCTAAAAGCGACCTCCTGTGCATGTTTTTTTTTTTCAACTTACTTTTTATTCAACTTTAATTTTTATTCAAAAGTATTTTTTGTTCAGCTTATTCAGCTTTTGCATCAAGTTATTATCTGATTGAAGAGGGAATCCAGCTTTAAGCCAGGGAATCTTTATTTTGCTTAGAATACACTTACAATGTCTTTTTTTACAGAGCATGCAAGTATAGTTGACTTTTTTGATGTTTTAGAAAGCATCGACTGATTAAAAGCTATGTGTTGTAAAATATCTATTCCAGTCGGCAGTTGATCAACTAAAGTTATTAACACAAAGGTTCAGGTTAAGTTTGTTAAACTATAATCTTAAATATAGTCCTAAACTAAATATTTAAAAATTTAAAAAAAATCTCAAAACAAGATTGTTACTTGGTATTGGTGGTTTCACATTCTCTATAACAAAATGTTAAATTACTGGTTTCACTTTTAAAATAATAAAAAAAAATTTTATATTTTTTGCTTTATATTCCAATTTTTAACTGTTTCCTACTTTTATTTGCACTTAAAAGCATTTTTTGTGACTCTTTGTTTTCTATTAGATTTTCTATTATAATAAAAACTATTTTAAAAGAAATCACTTTCACTCATTTAAAAGTATGAGATAAAACTAAAATGTTTACTGCAAAATTTTGCAATAAACATTTTAGTTTCATCTCATACTTTTTAAATTCCTGGATAAAAAGGTGAAATGCTTCATTTTGAGGAAGAACTTCTTAATCAAAAATGTAGCAACACTCCCTTGTAGCAGCAGGCTACATAATAGTTGATATAGCAACACTCTGCACTTGTAAGGTTTGATTAAGAAGTTCTTCCTCAAAATGAAGCATTTCACCTTTCCATCCAGGAATTTCATTTGCAGTATCACTGGCAATTAGAGATTAGGATCTATTTCCAATAACCAGTTAAATAATCAAATAGCACATTTAGTCACAGTTGCAAAGACAATGAGCATGCAAACCTCTACTAAGTTTTGTAGCTTTAGTACAATTTATAAATTCTACCATTTATAAATTACAAGGGTTTTTTATATAAACAAGTATTTTATTTCCTTACAGACTAATATTATATCAAGGCATTGTTGCAAATAATCACATAGTTTTGGAAATTCAATAAAAGCAAATTTCTTCTTTTAAAGTTTGATTTGGGTGATTAGGCAGCCGTTTAAAGTTTTTTCTTTTTCTTTTTTCTTTCTGTTGTTTGTTGCTCTGACAACGAAGCACACTTCATTGTAACTTTATATTTTAATGTTTTTTTTATTTCTTGATTTTATATTACATGGCCGATAATTGCCTTTAGGCATGAAACTATTATTACCATAAAAAGTTGTATTTTCTATATATATATATATATATATATATATATATATATATATATATATATATATATATATATATATATATATATATATATATATATATATATATATATATGTATATATATATATATATATTAGTATATATATATTAGTATATATATATATATATATATATATATATATATATATATATATATATATATTTATATATATATATATATATGTATATATATATATATATATATATATATATATATATATATATATATATATATATATATATATATATATATATATATATATATATATATATATATATATATATATATATATATTAGGGTGGTTCAAAAATGGGTCATTGTAAAATTTCAACAAGTGTGGAAGCTTATAAGGTGCCCAGATATTGGTTTTATATATAAAATTTTTTTTTTTTTTCTTTAATGTTCAAGGGTGGACCACAGGCCCTAAACATTTTAATTTTAATGATGTTTGTTGATTTTTCGGAAATTTCAACGCCCGTGGGCCACCCTAAAACCATGAAAAAAAAAAAAAAAAATCATCAGTAAACTCAGAATGAGTAATAGAAACAAATAAAAATGCATTCTTAATGAAATTTTTTATGTAAAAAGTCTGAATGAACCTGAAAAAATTAGGAAAACCAAGTATTTGGCTTTTTCAAGCTTTTTTTTTTTAAGTTTCTTATGATGACATTTTTATCATTTTTTACAATTAATCATAGTTTACAGTACCATCAAAGGTTTTAGATATCATACCACAATATTGCATTTTATATATAAATTTGAAAAAATACTTAAAAAAATCATTTTTTTTTGTTGATCATGGTACAGATTTGTTGACTAAAAAGTCAAATAATGCTGGAAGTAGCATTTGCTGCGAGATTGTTCTTCTTGGATACTTGTTTACTTCTCTTGTAGATATGGTTAAACAAGAACATATCTTGCCTCTTCTCCTCCTTATTGGATTTCATAATAAGTTCCTTAACTAATTTGATAGCTCTCTCAGAAGAATCATTGACTACATCTAGAGATTTGATGGTAGTCTCAAACTCTAGATAAAAATCATTCAGCTCCCAGAATTGTGAAGGGGTTTTAAGCCACTGTAACTCCCCCTTCCCATGGCCAATCTTATCAAAGATCAGCCAAGATTGGTTTGTAATAAGAGATGCTAGGGATGGAGGCTTTTGGGAGTAGTTTAGTGAGTGAATAACTTTCTTATCTACTTCAATACGCTCCAGTTTGGAGATATTGGGTCTGTCCAAATGAGTACTATAGAGTTTCTAAGCTAACTCGTCTCTAATTCTTATCAGCTAAAGCAAATACAACAAAGAGAAGCAGCTGGCAACTTAGCTCTAAGGAACCATTGAGCATAAAATATACTGACAAACATAGCCATATCAGATATTTCCTCTTTGTTCTCTTTAGTTAAACCAGGAATGTGATCGAGTAGAAGGTACATTTTCAGATAATACAAGGTTTTAGCCATGAACCTGGCATGGTGTACAGGTCCAGGCATATGAAACTTGAACCTCTCCTCCTTAGTAACAATCATCAACAAGAGAGCTCAACTAACTCCTGGTAATCTTTTCTTGATTTCCCATCCTGTATTTTATTAATTATCGCTTTTAAACATTAAAATACATACAAAAATAGGTTACAGAATAATAATATACTAGAATGAATGATTCATTTTACCTTCTTGTATGTCTTATTGTTGATTAAATCTCTGTAGAACTGTTCAGATTCCTGTTGATGTTGGTTTATCCAGGTTTCAGGTGGAGTTTCAATCCTTTTCAGGGGCAGTATATCTTTCTCTAGATCATTCCAGACTAACTTGATTTTTTTAAACAACTGGTTATCTGGTCCTGTAAGTTTATTACTTAAGTACATCTTACAGAAGTGAGTAATATGATGCTCCAGAACATGGTGTCGACAGGCAAGGAGAAGAAGTAGCCTTCCTAACTTTTCTGACATTCTGGTATTTAGACCTTGAAGCCTTCCAGTGTTTGATGCAGTGGTATCAAAACAGATACATTGCACTCGGTTAGTGAGACCATAATTCTCTAGAAGTTCATAAATAGCATTGAACTGCTGTTCTCCAGTCCCTGAATCAATAGGAGGAATACCTAGTAACTCAGTTTTTCCATTAATTTTCACATAGCAAGTCTATCTTGAGTAAGTGAAAAATTTCCTGTGTACTCTTTTACTATCTTTCCATCAAAATGAACAGAAATCAATTTATGACATAAGTTGGCCAGGTTCTTGATGTACTGTCAAATTTTTTCAGCTTCTGAATTAATCACATGATCTATGGCTCTTAAAGAAGAAGATTTAGAGACAACATATTTACCAACATTTCCTCCTGAGAGAGCTATTACACTGCTTATGATAGCAGTGTGCTGATTCACTGAAAGACCTTCACCTGCAGCAGTTATAGCAGTACGCCTGAGAATATCTTTAGGTATAAGTACACTATTTTCTTTATCCTGAACATTTGTGGAAACAAACTCATCCAGATCACTTTCATTGACATCACCTGCATTACTTAATGAATCAACAGAAGTATCTAATTCATCTTCATCTAATTCCACCAACTGCTCATCAGATTTCTCACTCACATCTCCACAAAAATTATTAGAAGCTCTCTCAGCTGCCTTTTTGAAGATGGTGTCATTGAATAAGCCAAATATTCGGTTTTCCTAATTTTTTCAGGTTCATTCAGACTTTTTACATAAAAAATTTCATTAAGAGTGCATTTTTATTTGTTTCTATTACTCATTCTGAGTTTACTAATGATTTTTTTTTTCCCCATTGTTTTAGGGTGGCCCACGGGCATTGAAATTTCCAAAAAATCAACAAACATCATCAAAATTAAAATGTTTAAGGCCCGTGGGCTACCCTTGAACATTAACGAAAAAAAAAAAAAAATTTATATATAAAACCAATATCTAGGCACCTTATAAGCTTCCACTCTTGTTGAAATTTTACAATGACCCATTTTTGAACCACCCTAATATATATACATATATACTCTTATTGCTATTTGTTTTTCTGTATAGTTTTTTTATGTATGTGCATTACTAGTTCCAATTATATATAATTTTTTCAATGAAAAAACCATATTTGTTATATATCAGGCATTAGAATATTGGAGTGCTAACAGAAAATATTGGACTGTTAACAGAGCCATGTAGTACATAGATGATATCCAACTTGTCATTTGTTGAATTTTACTACTTGCAATTTTTGACAGACCTCCTGTTCTTTGTGAGATTAATTTAAATTTAGCTCTTTCGTTTTTGATTAAATAGAGACTTCAATGCTTGGACTGGGAAAACATATCTATATATTTGAAACATATCTATATATATGAAATCCGTTTTGAATTCTTTGACCAAGGATTCAAAACTTTTATGTGCTATGATTCAAAACTTTTTATTGTTTAGCACTTTTTTGTTCAACTTTTTTTGTGTGTGTTTTTTTTTCTTCTTCTAATTATAACTGCACTCTTTTCAATGTTGTTTCTGATCAAGTTGATTAAACCCAATCTTGTTTTCTCTTGACCATTATGTTGTTATTGGTCACTTTATTGCTTACCGTGTTGAATGGTTTGGATTTTTACCACTGGCCCTGCTGGCTCCAAAGCTTAAAATTTTTTTTTTCCTTATCTCTTAGTTATTTTTGTGACTCATTTCCCAGACAACCATATTCATTTATATCACTTCTTGATTTGTGTCTTGACTGACCCTAGTTTGTGCAAACTTTTTAGATTACCTATGATTTTACATCCTATGATTTTGTTAATACTTTTATTTTTTACTTCTACCATTTTTTACACCAATGCAGTTGGTTTCTTACTTTAATTTTAAGATTGAGAGATAAGTTTAAATTTCCACTTTTCATGGATCAAATTGTAATGCTTCTCCCAAAGATAGGTGTCAATTAAAAACCCCATCTTTTTTTTGTTTTTAAATGTTTTCAAATATTTTTTTAAAAATTTGCGCTCAAAAAGCTTTTTTTCATCTGATTTTTTCCTCTAACAAACACTTTCTGTGTTTTTTTCTCTTTTTTGAAAATATCATCAAAGTTGCTGTAGTTCTCTTGTTCTATCTAACAAAATTCGATCCCCACCACATCCCTGGTAGTACCACGCTCAACTCCTTTCTCCGCGCAGCGGCCTTGTTCGTCAACGTTCGTGTTTCAGAGTTATAGAGTTAAGAGTGGGTTATAACCACAAATAAGCAGCCTCCTTGACTGTAGTGCCCTTCTCGAACGATTCAAGGAGGCAATTTAACAGAAGAAAAAAATTCAGTTTCGTTCATTTTTTTTTTTTTTTTTGTTATCAAACATTTGTTGAAATTCACTTCTATTTTATACTTTCCCAGCTTCTAGATTTTTTAGCTTTCTGTTGTTATCTTCTGGCTTTCTTCTGGTAAATCAAATAATAATAATAACTTGTAATTGTATTTTGTAAATATAATAATAGCTGGTAATAGTATCTAAAAAAAAGTTTTAAGTAAAAATATTCACAGAAAAAAATCACAAAGCAACCGTAATTACAATAAAACTACCAAAAAGTATTAAGAACATTGGTTTCAAACTATAATAAAAATTAATATTATTATTTAATAAAATATTTTTAATTACAACGATTGCAATTACAACACAATTATTAAGAGCATTAACAGCAATTTTAAGGAAAAATTTCAAACTTTTTTATTTTAAAGATGTCGATGATGTTGTTTATTAATCTTCTTTTTTTCAGCACTAGCATGCATTGTTTGTTTTTTTTCTTTTTTAGCACCAACGTGCATTGTTTCTTGTAATGGTACAAATACTTGTGCTGGTGAGTTGTTTAAATTTATTCTTTTGAAAAGACCTTTTAAAGTTTTTGAAGTTAAAAATATTTGTTTCCAGATTTGTATTTTGCAAAAAAAATTTATTTTTTGAATAACAGAACTTTACAAAAATGTGTACATAAAAAAAGAATTGTTGCACAATTCTTGAACTTTGTTGCAACAATAGTGATTTTAATAAAATTATTTTTTAGCAAATGTCATTTTGATAGTTATTTAAAAAGTTTTCATTAGCTGTTACAATTTTACAAAATACAAATTTATCATTAATTGAAAATTGTATTAGAATCAATTTTAATGTTGCCAAATTTTTAATTAACTTCTAATTTTTTAAATTATTAATTAGTAGAAATTAAATTACTACAGTACTTAACAATTTTACCATTGCAAAAGTAATGCACTAATATAATTTGAATTGTAAAAATACCTAAGATTTTGAAGTGATTTGTTTTATCCAATTTTTTTTTTCAACTCTCAGGGTTTCATTTTCAATGGATGCTCTAAAAAAATTCTGTAAACTTCCTTGTATTTCTATTCCATTCTTCACTTTAATAAACTAAACGTATAAAAAACGTCTAATACGTTTAAAAGATGTATGCCGTAAAGACATTTTATTACTCCTGATTCCTTTCTCTACCTCTACAAACATTTAATTTGTCTCTGTATGGAATACTGTTGTCATATTTGGGCTCGTTCTTTTAATGATGCTCTTTTTCTTCTAGACAAGGTCCAAAATTACATTGTAAATGTAATTGGGCCCACTCTACATGCTAAGCTTGAGCCTCTTTGCCATCATCGTAAAGCTGCATCTCTATCTGCAATACTATCATGGTTGCTGCTTAAACAAATTATCATCTATTGTTCCACCAGCTAAAACTCATTCTTGCTTGACTCGTCATTCAGCTAAGTCTTATTTGTTTACTGTCCCTACATACTCTAAATACTTTTATTTATCTAGTTTTTTTCTGGGCACTTCAACTCTTTGCAACTCTCTTTCATTTTT